AAAAATAATGTTTCAAAGTTTGTTTGGAAGCCTTTTAAATCACCTTTATCGTTACGGAAATGAAAATGTTTCGCTGAGGCATCTCTCTTTAATTTGCATCACCTCTATTTTAACTACCATTTACTCACTCAAAAATTGTTCAGTTTATGGAAGATCTTATCGTATTTTCAGCCCTAAATCATTCGGGTTCTTTCGGAAAGAATTTCGTCAAGTTTAAAAACAATAAATATGTTATTTACCGGCTAAGGGTTGGTCCATATGGTGAAAAACTGTGACCTCGGTCTTGAAAATGCTGCCCTCGGCCTACGGCCTCGGGCAGTATTTTCAAGACCTCGGTCACAGTTTTTCACCATACGGACCTCCCAGCTGGCAAATAACATATATTTACTGTTTCTCAACAGTCCTTTACCTCATAGTCTGTCTTCTCTTGGGCTGTTAGCTCTAGTCAGGCTCTCTTGTTACTGTGGCTTGTCAACATGTCATAGCTGATGAGCAACTCTTAGTCTGGTGTACTACTTTAGGGTGTGAGTATGTTTTAGGGGCTCAGGTACTAACACTGAAGGGGAACTTGCCTATTTAAACATAGTGCAATAATCTGCACCATGTCCCAGTCACAGGCATTGTCATCACAAATAACTTGTTTATTAAACTAGTTACACTCCATGCAGTCACACTGGTTTTCATTAAATGTAACTGGCCTTATCAATGAAATAAAGACAGCAGATGTGAGGGTTTCATGGATTTCAAATCACTTGTATTTACCATGTATAGGCTTTGCAAGAGAAAGCACAGCAGGAATATAAAAAATCACAAGAGGAACACCAGGCTAGAAAGTTTTTACAAGAGGTACGGGTGGATATCAAGAAAAACTGTCACAAAGTGTTTTACTGTGATTTTGAATTTTGGTTGAGGCCAGTGTGCCACTGTTATGAGTCATAGAGAGACACTGTTGATTGAGTGAAGTGCCACATATACTGATAGGCACATTTGATTTTTTTGTTTGTTTTTTTTTTTAATAATCCTATTTCTTGGATTGGTAAAAGTGTAGAATATGTTGGTCTGTTAGTTCTTAATTTTACTGCCATCTTTGCTAGTCTAAGGGTTTTCTTTTTCAGATTTCCTATAGAATTATTAGGTGCATTACTAGTGTTCTCTGTTCCTTTTAAAACAGGAAGAACCAACTGTAAAACTCAGGAAGATTGACAGAGCAGATTCTATATCATCACCCAGTGTGGGTATACCTGGTACATTGGAACCCAACAAAGACACTTCTGCTGTGACTGTTGGTAAACCCCTGAGCCGTACTCTAAGTCAGACTCCTATGGCTGGAAAGCCGGTGGCAACCGTACCACCAATGGCAGCTAATAAGGCACCAACTGGCACAACAACTCAGTCAACAGTCTCTACAAAGGCTAAGGTCAGTGTGCAATGAAGAGAATAATCCCAACTTGGGCATAAATACAATCTTTACAGGAATTGATGATTTTTTTTTTTTTAGTTTATGGGTGTGTGTGATAACTGGCGCAGTAGCTGTTACCTAGTGGGTTTTGGAAAAGGCAGTGTATAATTGAATTTTTAAAGCACATTTGGAGACAGTTTTTAAGTTATTACATTCAAATTCTATATGCTTGGGCATTTTTCATGGAAAGATTATTCCCAAGGTAGTGATTTCTCAAAATTTGTTCTCTTTTGACAGAAGAGCAAAGTTACAGTGAAGCCAATAACTAAGCGAATGTGTCTGTGTGATGGTTGCAACAAGCCAGCAAGTACAACAAAGGAACGTGGCACTCAGTACTGTAGTAATGAGTGTATTGTCAAACACTGCAGGTATAAATCATCAATTTAATTTGAATAACTTAATACAGATTTATAACCAGTTTAGGTTTGAAACCATGAATAGGTATCAATTAACTCTGGAGTGACTTCATAGTCCTTTCTTCTGGCTTCATGAAAGGATAGGTGCTGTGGGGCCAACTACTGTTTGGGCTCAATGCAGAAATTTTTTCCTTGCAAGGCCTCATCCCCCCTCACCCCACCCCTTCCACAAAGTACTGTAAAAGTATTGGGAAAATCATGCAATCAGAAACAAAGAAGACTTGAAATGTTCCTTGAGTTGTAGCTTTCAAGGTTAGAATTTGCATCATTGAGTAACAGGCTTCTTGAACCCTGTCAGCCGTATAATTTTTTTCCCCTTGATTACTTTTTTTTAATTTCTCCAATTTAAAGAGATAATCTTAGTAAACACTAAAGTTGTGCAATAAAAGTGTAGGTCATCATGCTTGTTTAAGGACTAACGACCACAGCACCTCTTTACCTGGTACATTGACTGAAAAACAATACTGTGTTCATGGAATACAGGTGTGCCTATTCACCTGATTATGTGATTTTTATGTGCAATATTGTGCAATACTGAGGAATCACCTTAACCCATCAAAATAACCTTGACAAATTTGAATAGCCTTTGTTTGAATTCTAACTTTCTTGTTTTGGTTTTAACTAAGAGAAGGTGATTATAACTAAGTGCAGCTTTACCAAGTATGAGAACTGCACTTTCCTGTGACATGGCCAATTTGTCTGCACTCTAATAAAGTTTTTCCTATCTCATGTCCCTTTCTTTAGAATGGTTTTCACTTCGTGGGTTGAGCAGAGGAACATGAAGTCAGACTCAAGCTGATACCGCTCTTGTTCATAAAAAGTTGAAAATAGTCAGTTTTTGGATTTAAAAAAAAATTGTTATCTTTAACAAACAGCATAGGCAAACTGAGTTATTTATGAAAGAGTGAGGTTGCTGTTATAATACTGCAACTGATTGATGTGATTGTCAATCCATGCACAAATTAAGGTTTTTTTTAGCTCTAATTATTGCTATATTAAGCACCAACTAAAGGTGAAGAAATCTTATTTCATGGTGTTATGTAGATCAATAGGAAAAAGGATTTTGTTTATGTTCCTATTGTAAATGTTATAAGGTTAATTACAGTTTGTAATTCCCTGTCATATTATTTGTTCAATTAATAAAATTAATTGAGAGGGGACGAGTCTGTTTTGTACTTGTTGAATTGGTTTTATTCAATGTTGAAATGAAATCATTGTGTAAATTTAATCATGGGTAGGTAATAGTTGAATTACTTAAATTCTGTGTAAACTTGCTATAAAGTAAAACCTTGCAGTTTTACTTCTAATTGGTGGTGAAAAGGGAAGGAGCAACAATTGTTTTTCAGACTGGTCAGTTGTGGCTGATCCAGTTTCAAATCTCCTATGAATTTAATTGAGGGATAATCTATTAATCAGGAACAAACAAATGCATTTCACTATTATCCAACATCCTAAGAGCATTTCTATAAATTGCTAATGTGGAGTTGAAGGTTGGTCAAATTCTTAGCTCAATTGAGAATGATTGTCAAACAATGAGGTCACTCTGTAAATCTCAGAATAGATTAAGTGGTATGATGATATATGTGTACTTTTTGACGATGGTGATGAAAGGTATATGTTTTCTGAAGCATACCTCTCCTTTAATGTGTGTTACCATAACAAAGAGGTTTTATTCAAATCAAAGGAAGTTGGGCTATGAGCTTTTTTTGTTTTGTTTTTTTTCTGAAAAAGGAAAAATAATTATGCTAGTGTGTAGAGTGGTACATTGCTAATACCAATCAGACTGCCGCACTAGGGTATGTATCTTGCACCACTCATGTCACAGCATTTGGATATCTTGCACCAATCACACCATTTAGGGTATGTCTTGTGCAGCTTTCTTGCAAATGATGTCATGGAATCAGGTGGCTGTGCTCAAAGAGTAACATAAACCTTTAATTTTGAGCCAATTTTGATAAGTGTAATGGTTTGTGGCCTTTGTGAGAACCTTATTGATTAAGGTTGAGATCTATTGGGATATATGAGGTTCACATTTAACCGTGTTGTATCATTTTTAAGTTAAAGCGTGTTTTTTTCACCCCTTCACTCACAATCCACATGCCAAAAACCTTACATTCCATCATACCATGAAATCAGAACACACCAAGTCATTGCACTACATGAACATTAGGCAATTTTTCACATGCCTGAATTGTATTCCACCAATCAAATTCCATTTTGCCAAATTAGACTTTGCTCCATCACCTCTCATTTCCTTGTAAACAACCTGCACTTGATTGCGCATTCTAACCACATTGTCCTGGATTTTGACTTTTTCTACAATTGAAATTTGCTTTTAGCTTCCTTGGACTTAGTCCAACTGCATGCTCATTCCTTGTAAACAACCTGCATTTTTTATCACATATTTCACACACAGAGGGCGAAGTCCAGATAGGCAACAACCAATCAAGGAGCACTCTTTGAAATATTATCCTTTTCTCTTGTTCAATGTATCTTTAGTTATTCGAGACTGCAATATATCTTAGGTTAGTGTCTATTGGAGATATAACAGAGTTTCAGTTTGCTTTTTGCAGTAAAAATTACATAGAATTATATTTTTGATGCAACTAACTGTAGATGATTGATTTTGATTTTCTATCTGTTAGAGGAATAGCAGTAAGCGTAGTCTCTTTTGCAACCATTATTTTTGCAACACTCTCTCTCAAAGAGGGAAGATATGATGTTGTGTGACAAGACCAAACAATGCCTTATAGGGAAACAACAGTAAGTGTGGCACTGATGCATTTTATTTTTGCTTAGAAGTATTTAGACAATAGACCAAAAAACACCTGTGTGAGTTCAGATAAATTTGTAGATTTTTTTTCTTTCTCTTAAGGTGAAGTAATGCAATAATTTCATCCGTTTGAAAGTTACACAAAGTGTTCCATCTCAATTTGCCAACCAAAAAAATTACTCTTGCATGCTTCACACGCCTGTTTTCATAAAGATACATTAGTTTGCACCTTATTGGTTCCAGTTTGCCACACCACTGACAGATCAAGATAGATCAAGCAGTAATTAACAATGTAGTAAGGAAACTACATACTTGTTGACACATTTCAAGTTTAATTTATTTAAGACCAGGGTTGTGTTTGAAATATGTTATATTTAATATGTACAGTAACAAGGTATTTGACAGTACTACTCAGATGACAAAATACATTACAGAATAGTTAAACAGCAGAATACATGGCAATTCTAAGTGAAACAATTGAAGTCTTCAAGTGAAATAAATACATAAATTACAATGCAGTGGTAAACACATCTGAGTGCAGTTGTCCATGATAGAAAGATGTTGAAATTGATAATTGCGTGTGACATATGATGCTTTGACAGAGAAAAAAAAAATAATACTTGGCTTCAAAAGAAAAAACTTACCTCATAATGTACTATATAGACTCCTCACTGTACAATAATATATGCCTTTATTGATATCAGTTGATCAATGTCACTAGTTGCACGCTCATGAAACTGTTCAAATGATGAACACATCATGAAATTTTATGATTGATAATATTGGTTGTTGTTCAGTCCTCATGAATTGGTTTAACTCCATCTAGTCCCAATTCTTCAGAGGAGGCCCCTGGGTAACTGTTTGCCTCTGCTGCCTGTGGTTTTTCAGAGAAATCTTCATTACTTGCTCCATCTTTAGGAAAGAACTGTCCAATGCCTAAAAATATATCAATACACAGGTTGAAATAAACCTCAAGAGCACTTACACTGCATACTAGAACTATATACCGATACCTCCACTTTTGCTTCAAAAAATGCTTCAAGGGCCTATTCATTGTTGTCTGTAATGTGTTATTATTCGAATCCAACTTGCTTATCATGTTAGCCAGTACTTCTACTGAACTCCAACACATGAACTAGTAATCAGAGCACCAGATGTGTGGTGAGGAGGTCCTGACCAGTTGATGTTGCATGGAATTCCTGGCTGCAGTGTTCACTTCTAAATCAAATCAAATTCCTGCTAATATTATTTTCTCTATCATTTCATCCCCTATTTGTTTAAGATTGAATCTAAAACAAGAATTAACCTTACCCAAACCATAGTGAGATAGAATAGATTCTGATAGAGATGGGATAGTAACAAACACAGGATTTTTTTAACAAGGGAGAAGACAAAATAAAAATGTAAGTCTTAGAGGTCAACCAAAAAGCATGGTTGGCAATTAGATAGTTCCCAGAAAATTACAAGGTTTTATTTCATTACACACAACTACCCAAGCAGTGCCATTCAAAACAAGCCAGCTTTTAGAAAGTAAATTATTGTCATTATTCCTTCTCCCCCAAAGGAAAAAAAGAGAGTTAGAAACTGGTATGTATCCTTGAACTCTCTCGGTTGTGGGATGTTATTATCACCTGGTAATTTACCTTTTTGCCATTTGGGGGATGGCCACCACTTGACAGGATTTCCTCCGCTGTTCTTGTTCTTGCCTCCTCCTGAGTTGTTTGGTGAACCAACCGATGATGATGATGAAGCACCAAACTGTTTGCGAGGAGCTTTGGCACCAACAGCTGTGTGTGCAAATTACATAATGTGCAACTGCTAGAACAGTGATCTGTTACTAAATTTTCGATAAGTTTTCATACTGATTCCTCCAAAGGCTTCAACTGAACCCTTGATCACATGGTTTGACAAATTAAATAGCAGTTGCAAAGCCAAAATAACTTCTGTGGTTGAGACAAAACGTTTTCCTAGTTAGTTAAGGCCACTTTTAATGAGTTGCTTAAAGTTCAAAACAAAATTCAACTTATAAATCTTGCGCAAAAAGCGATGAAGAGACCCGAAAATCAGCATAGCATAAAATTAATTGTTGTATGGTACAACAACTCTCACCTCTAGTGAAAGAATATCAATACCAGGGTCTCATTATGTCGTAAACTTCTTATCATAATTAGCACTCCGAAAAACAAAATTAAAGAATGCATCTACAAGATATATAGTGCTACCACCGTTCATCTATGGGATTTTAACCAAAGAAGAAAGAAATTATTCAAGCACGAACAGCCGAGTGAAAGCCACTACACCTTTTTGGTACATTTAGACAGGGCGAAGGTATTTAATCTTGTTGTTTAAATCCCATGATTTCTTCATCAAAACCGAACATAGGGTAGTTATACACAGAATATTCTCCCAATGTACATACCAAGCTTCACTGAGTTAAATGTACACGTGAGCGAAGTACCATAACGATTCAGATCAGTGAAACTTGAAAGCAATAGTCCAATAATCGATATTTTTAACATTAGCTTATATGACTCCTCTGAGGCGATCTTCTGTTTGTGACCAGATTTACCGGAATATCGGATCAAAAACAAGCCAGTGTTGTATCAATGAAATGAACACTATCAACCCCTCTTTCTCGATAACGAACTGCTGTTTTTGAAGCTAAAATTACAATAACCGGCGTGTAATCAATCCACTTACCTTTCCTTCCTGCACTGTCTGCTTTCGTTCGTACCATTTTGCAAAGCTGCTAGTAAACCTAACGCGTGGAAATGGTGAACTCCGACGTCGAAATATCAACTTCGAATATGCGCGCCTTTTTATCTCACTTCACGTCGCATCAGGTCGAGGCCAACTTTTTCTGCAAAGGTTACTACCCTACGGCACTTGGTATCATCATGAATAGTCTGAATTGTCCATTTTCAAAATTCAAGCGAATCCTAAAACACGTCATAACAACTAACTATAAATGATAAGGTGACCTAAACGCGTCTCTTAATAGGTGAGGTTTATTTGAGTAGTTATCAGAGAACTTTACTGGTCCGCAAATGATCCCGGGACCGCAAATGGTCCCCGATGGGGGCCGCAAATGATCCCGACCAAAAAATAAGGAATAGCATGGACTTACATATTAGAGGAAGGTTAAAAAAATTATATATATATTGGAGCGAAACCAATGCGCGTTGAGAGTACTCGATGTTTTTAATGTGGTTAGATGTCAGATATCTATAAAGAATATATATATATATATATATATATATATATATATATATGTATATATATATATAGGGGAAATCCCCTGATGAGTGGACAACCACGAAACAGGTCTGTAGGGATGAACTGGTAGTTTATTTGTCTTTTCCTCCCACAATATATACATCGCTCTACTCCTATGTATTGAGCACTGTCTTACGTAAGTCAAAACTTTTATATATATATATATATATATATATATATATGTGTATATATATAATTGTGGGAAATGTACTGTATATATATGTCAGATATCAGATACCAGATTTCAGATATATATATATATATATATATATATATATATTGTCACCTTTCTTAGATTGGCCTAAGAAAGGTGACGAAGGGTTAAGGCAACGGGTTCATCGGAAGTTACAAAACGACATCTATGCCGTGAAAGAAATCCATGATCCGACAGTTGGACAGCCGAAGAAACAAATAGTCGAAAAGGTAACTTACTGAATTGTGGTGAAAAAGTCGGATGTTTCTCAGCTTGTGGATGGTGCGTACTACGAAACGAAAAGTGAAGGCACTAAAAAATTGAGCAAACAAATGTCTCAAATTTACCATGGGTTATTACGTCGAGTCATCCAACACAGTCTAAATTCATTGAAGCAGCAGCAAAAAATTAGGCCCCTCTTTCAAAATAAGGCGCCTCTCCGGCCAATCAGGACATCAAAAGTACAAGAAAGACATCAAGTGGATCTTGTAAGCATGGTTAGCATGCTAGACGGTGATACTTATAAATACATAATGTCTGTTATTGACATTTTCAGTAGATTTCTTTTCTTACGTCCTCTTCAAACAAAAGAGACTCGTGAAGTGGCGGAACATCTTTAGACATTTACATCGAACACGGTCCTCCAGAAATTTTGCTAGGCGATCAAGGTCCAGAATTTAAGGGAGTAGTAAAGACTGTTTGCGAAACGCTACATGTTCACAAAATTAAAAGCTCCGCATACAGTCTCCAGACCCAAGGAAAAGACGAGCGCTCACACAGAACGTGGAAGGAAAAAATAAAGGTTGATTTAATTAACAACAACAACAATGGCCATCTCAACTGGGTGGAGTCTCTACAACAGTACCAGCAACTCTACAATGAATCACCACAGCTTTCTCCATTTGAAGTGTACTTCGGTAGAAAGCCCAATAGGTATCGCAATAAACTGTTTCTTGTGGGAAAGAAGGAATATGAAGTTCCAGATGAAAACAGCAACGGTATCGAAATAGATGAATGCAAGACGGAAGAACCAACAGAGCTAGTAACAGAACGCAATTCTATCATGCAGAAAGCTCTGGATGCGTCTAATAAGGCTTCGCAGAATATGGTAAAGCGGGAGTTATGGCGAAATCCACCCTCACTCTATTACAAGGGAGAAACCGTTTTGATTCGAGTCCCTGTCTCAAAGAAATTAGTGAAGGGAAAGAAAAACTCGCTAAAGAACACCTGTGAAGGGGTGATCCTTGAGGCTAATCATTCCATGCACAAGTACTTTATCAGCTACAATGATCCCGTGACACTTGAGAGCGAAACGAGGTGGTTTAAAGTAGATGATGTTACCTCAGTAACAAAAGAAGAAGAAAATGAGTGGCAGCAAAAGGCAAAGAGTGACAGTGGGAGACGAAATGATACTTGCACAGACCATGAAGCCGATTCCCAGGCCAACCAGCGAAGCGAGCAAGAACAGACAACGCCAGTTTGTCAGAGGCCAGCATCGATCAGATATTCTCCTTAGAAAAGCATAATGGTGACACTGTAACTAGCTATTGCCGAGGAATAAAGGCAAAAGTATGGCCATGGAAAAATCACAGAAGAAATTTTTCCAAAATGTGGACGAAAATTCCAGTGTTACTCAAAAAGTGTTTTTGAGAGTGGTGGAGCGTTGCAGTACTACTCAGATGACAGCGTCTTTTGTAATAGTTGCTTAATCAGTGGATGAATTTTGGTTTGGAATTAAGTGCAACAAAAACAATCAATGCCGCATTTTGGGTGAAAACATATTAGTCTAAAGCACTACGTTGTTGTTGTTGTTTTTACTGAGACTGTTGCTGCTGTTGCCAGCCGGGTGACGTCAATGGACTGATATAATTTGATATAAAGATAGAACGGTATACCACGCTGGCATATCAATGTGTATCTAGTGAAGGAAGAATATGTAGTGTTTATTGTGTTGTGGAAAAGAATCTCGGTCATAATTTTTAGATATATAGTAAAGACTAAGTCTGTTTATGAAGGTGCCATTCATAGCATCGTAGTATGAAAAAGGTAACAAAAAGAAGCCAGTTGTAAGCCATAATTTAAGATGGTTTTAATAAATATAATTGCTATTCATCCCAATTCCCTACCCTCACCATTCCCACATCCATGCCATTCCTTATTTTTTAGTCGAGATCGTTTGCGGTCCCCATCAGGGATCATTTCCGGTCCGGGATCATTTGCGATCCGAGATCATTTGCGGTCGTGGGATCATTTGCGGACCCGTACAGAATTCTTAGCTGTAGGGAAACATAGACATGCAATACGTACACATTTTTTTTCATGAGAGTGGGAACATTTCTGATAAATCAGTTGTATTGTATGTCATTTGGAATCTTTATCAAGAACTCGAATTTGTCTTTTTATTTGCTTGAAATGATACAACAACATATTTGTAGAATTATATGACCCATTATATAACCTATCTAACCACAACTCCCCCTCTGGCCCAGCGGCAGACTTGTAACTGGTAACTTACCAGAGAAGTGATAAGGTCTTATTAGATGTATCTCTCATCCAATTAAAATTTATGTTTCAAATAAATCATGAAAAATTGAATTCTCAGTGCACAAGACAAACTCACCCCACATTCTCAAAGCTAAAACATATTAAAAGTTTGTAAACATAACAAGGACCAATGTGAAATATGGTAAATTGGTAAAACATGTTACAAGTTTCCCATGCTTATTGGGAGTTACTATGTATATTATTTTAGTTCTAAGTTATTCAATGTAATGTTTACCTCTATTCTGGTTGGCTGTTGTAGTGAGGACTAGTGACTCTTGGTTTTTGGTTCATGACAATGTCTTAGCAAAATCACTCCCTTTCTTGTAACCAATGAAGTTTTTTGACACACCATAAATACTCAAGCTAACAATAAAAACAATGGCAACGTTTTGCATCAAAAATGATAAGTTGATATTTTTACAGCAACAGAGAGCAAACATGGATAAATTATAAACCATTTTATATTTCTTTTATAAAATAACTAATGAAAGAGGAACGAAAACCGTGTTTACATACGTTCATGTAAAATGGTTTTATGGCCAATCAGAGCCCGCGTACTATTTGAATTATTTTATAATATATTATCTATTACATCTATTACACTATATTATTATTGAGCGGTCAGCGGTCAGCGGTCAGCGGTCAGCGAGCATGATGGCAGCGTTTTTTGCTGTCCTTTGTTATACATAACTTTAAGGGGCACAATATTAGTTTATCTAGATGTGGCTCTCTCCTCTCCTTCAATATACAATGTAATTCAATTTAAGGGTTGCAATTTCTGTTCTACGCATTTTTTCCTTTGTAAATCTTTATCTGATTCTATGTTATATCACGTTATATTTACATAACTATGTATCAGCTAGGAATTGAAGGAATAAATAAAAAATAATGATAAATAAAAAAATATATTACACTGTTTAACTCTTCACCAGAAATCTGCCACAAGCAAGTCTTGTTGTTGATAACAGAAGAATTGTTGAGGAGAAACGTCGGCGCTCCAAAGCTAGACATCTTGTGACCAATGTTTAACGTCAGCCTCGTTAAGAATGTCCACAGCAGAGATATGCTTTGGTGCGCTTCCTTTACAAAACTCGTCATTCAGCTGATTTATCTTATGTGGTGAGCGTGCACATCCGAACACTATATGGTCTTTGGATATGTACCATTTCACCATGGCAAGGCCTAAGCCTGTGGATACCCCTGTTTTGGCGATTACTTCTTGTTTACCCACAGACGCCATGATAAATCAGATGAAGGTTACATAACATATCAGGAGGAAAGTTCGAGTCATAGGACAAATTTCAGTCACTACTCACGAAACGAGCTTGGGATAACTTGAATTTTTCCCTTTATGTTATTATATCATATTGTGTTAAGGAGTGTTGTGTGGTGCCAACATGGGAGAAGGCAAGTGAGAGGTATGTATGACTTCACCAGTCAGTTATCATTTCTGTTTCTTTAAATATCATCTTACGTGCTACTTTTCCTTTATTCACTATCATTTAACACACACACGAGAAGAAGTGAGGTGAGGAGCAAGGTTTTTTCAGACATGACTACTGAAGTGCACATGAGCAATTTGTGAAGTCCATGTCAAGCACTTTTTTAAGACAATTTTAAAATTATTTGAGAAAAATATTTGGGGTTCTGTTCCTGTTTGTTAGTCCAGCCAAGCTTGTGTGGTCATTGGCCCCTATAATAGCCGCTGTTACGGTATAATATTAGCGACAGAAAAACGCAACAATTCCACAAACTCAACTACTTTATTAAACAGCAAGTAATGTTCTTAACAAGGAGCGAATCCTTAAAGCAGTACAATACTTATCATTAATAAACTTAAATTAATCTTTCGCAGTAACTGTCTCTCAGTATAGCTTTCAAAACAGTTGTCACTCCGACAACAAACGCTACCACAGTTACATACGCGAGTCTTTATACATATATTCACAAAGTATTCTGGAACATTCCAAAAGCTTACATAAGAACTATTTTAGTAGTATTACTTAATAATTGTGTTACCTGATGGAATGTCTATGGTATGCCAGTCAGCATGACTCAGCAGCCTGCAAATTTTTAGCAGTTATGGCTTAAGAGTACAGGCAGTTAGCACTCACTTGTGTAACTTGTAAGATCTAAATTCTTCTGCCACTGAAGATGAGAGGGGAATATTGAGGTGCGATACAGAAAGGTAAAAAGATTGGAAAGTAAATATCTCATAAGGTTAACTTATAGGTTTTGATTTTCCTCAAACTGCAAAATTCTTGCAAAATAAAATGTTATAAAAGTCCTACTCCTTCCAAAATAAGAAAAACTCTGTATGGAAGTCAACTGTCAATTTGTATTCTTCACATAGGGACATACTTATCATATCCACCCATGAGCTACTTCCCAACTTGGCAAGCAAAAATTTTGAACAATAACTGCCAAAAAATTATTATTGAACCCCAAATAAGTGTTTTCCTGTTTGTCTCTTATTCTTGAGGTATTTTTAAGCAGTTTTGACATCTCTTAGGCATTAGTAAGAAATAGAAACTGAAGCTCTAAAATTGAAAAAGCTGATAAGAAGCACATTTTAGTCTAGGATATATTTGGTCCCCCAAACATTAATTTAATAATAAGATGAGTAGCACAATCACCATACTCACTTCTGTAACGTGTATGGAAAATGTGAAAATTGCTAGTTTGGGACAAAATCACTTCTTTAGGTCTGTTTTAAATTCACATTTACTATTACAACTGATTTATTTCAAACTATTTTATTTTTGTCACATTTGATTCAAATTTGTATTTACCCATAATCCCTTGTGGGTGTGGTCTTTTTCACAAATAATCAATTTCGAGTTCACTGACACAGTAAAAAGTAGAAATAATAACATTTTGTATTACATAGAGGCTAGTATCGCCCTAGTGAGATCAACTGGCACTCTAAAAACTGACTTTTTGCCTCTTTTTACAACTTGAAGATCACATCACCATTTTTCTCTTGGAAATTCAGCTCTCTTTTTGCGATTCTTTTCATTATATTTTAGATTCCTTAGCCTATTCTTTTCCTGCTTTTTCCTCCTCCACTCTTTGATCCTCGCAAGCTTTTCTTCATTTTCGTTAACCATACCTCTTTTCAAGCGCACTTGAAGCAATATTTACAGATACCAAAACCACCTTGGTCGAGAGGGACTGAGATGGAATGATGGACAACTCATGACTTGTTATACTAAATGAAAATTACGAAGCTACGACAACATGCCGACTTATCCCGATGACCTAAGTGTATCATTTGTTTGGGAAATTGCGTCAAAACTTTTTACTCAAGAAATGGTAAGTATTAATTTATTGTTCGATTGTAGTATTATAAAACATTTTACGCAATTTTATGCAGATATTTCACGTATTTAAAAGGTGCCCAGATGTTACGTAGTTTTGGTGGATGTCATTAGGGAACATCCACCAAAACTTTGACCAAAACCATCAACAATATATTTTTTTAAATTTTATCTATAGCCACTGTTAGATGTTCAGGGAGACAAAAGATTTATACCACTAATTAGCAGTTAGTGCTCTGGCTAATTATTTTTTATGGTGCACAATTGCTGACCGACCAAACGTTCATAATGATTATCATAACTCTTAACACATAGAATAAAGTGGTTTTGGTGGATGTTTCTCTCCATCCACCAAAACCACCATAGCAATTTCTGCTACTTCCTTACAGAAGACTGATGTGACCTGCTATTTGGAGTACATAACCACAATCTATTTCTTTGTATGTAGAGATATTTTGCAAAGTTCTTGAGTCAGCACCTTTTATTATTGAAACCATAATCATAACATGGTGCACAATATAGAATACAAAAGGTTCTGGTGTGGTAATCATGTAATCTTGAAACAGGAGAGTTTTTAACTGACTTAAACTGATTTAAACAGACATTTGCAACAAAATTCCAGGTCCAGAAATTTCTTCCACTATTTCCGCTAAAATCATAACCTTTAAGTACAACAAATCAGCACATTAGTAATTGTTATCAGGGGTCTGAAAATCCTATAAATCTTTCACATTTATTTCAAGTAACCTTTAATTTCACATGGATGAATAAGTATACGCTCAAGATGCAGAATGTCTTACATTTTACAAACTATTTCCCTTTTTATGGATAGACAGTGAAAGGCCTTTGCCACATTGGTGAATCAAACCATTGTATACCATGCATTTTGTGATAATTGTTTGTTTTTGCTCACAATATCCAGAAAAATGGAGGGGATAAATTTAAATAGCAAATTCTATTAATGGTTAAAATTAAATAACATTGGAAGATCAAATTAACTTTGTACTGTTTAAAATTCAGTTTTGGTTTCTTGCTTATTCCAGCCTCTTAATATTCAAAAGCATTCCTTGTCATTTTTGTGTTCTTCTGTGTACATAACGTGAAAAATAAACACAGAGAAAGGAAACCACAAAGGATTAAACTTGAAGCTAAAGCAAAGTTTAAGTTGAGCCATAGCTGATCCAAATACTGAGCACTTTGTATTGTAACCCATTTAGCAGTAAAGTTTATCTATATGTCTGCCAGCTTGTCACAAGTCTTACCCCTCTCCTTCAAAAGTCTCTATAAATAAATTTTTCTTTGTGGTCCCTAATTGATGATAAGTATATTACAGCTCCTCAATTTTCCTCTCTCAAGACAAGGTTACTCTAAATTTAACAAAGTAATGGACTTGATAAAACTCAAACTATAACTCAGCTGGCTGCTACTTGCAACCTTAATTTCTAGATATCAGTATACAATAATCAATATGTTATAAATAAGAACCCTAATGCTTAATTTTGCAGTGATCACCTTCCTCCTTTTCATTTGCAGACCAGACTGGAACCTCTATAGGTGTGTTTGCTTGTTTTGAGTGGGGATGGAAGAAAAGGAGTCATGCCGCATATCTGATTTATTAAATCGCATTTGTTCTGTTTATACATGAGTAGAACTACCTTGTTCTCTGAAAAAAATAAAATTTCTCGCATTTTTATCTGTGCTTTGCAGTCAAACTTCCTTGTGTCTTGGACAAGAAATCTTATTTTCTTGAAAACAAAATCTTTGTTTCCAGCCTTCTGTAATAGGTAAATATAACAGTGTAAGATGAGTGACAGTGTATTTCTCAAGTTATTTTTTGGAATGTGACAAAACGGAAGTGTCATAGCGTGATAAGGAGCAAACATATGATTGCTTGATAGAAAGCAAAAAATGCAGAATTGCATATATTTTCTCCTTTGTCAGCAGCATATGTTAGTGAAAAGTTCTTATAATTGTTAACTTCTAAACCATCTTCAATTTAGCCAAGATTGAACTGTTATCACGTTTGTCATAAAAGTATTCTGAGATCAATGTCATATGACCCATTCAAGTATTTGACCTTTCGAATTAGCAAGCCATAGTTGACAGAAACACAAAGGTTGAGGATAAAAAGAAATTATTATATACAGTACTTCTTCTGCATCTTTTCGTTTCCTTTTCTCTCCAGCTGTTCTATCTATGCCGTGCTGGCAATTGAACACTTTCCTTCCCAAAATTAGGAAAGGCACACCAGTAAAAAACGAATTTTTGCTCCTTAAATATCTCATGCATCTTCTCCCAGTATTTTGTGACTTCTGTCCGAGGAAGGAGGTGTAAGCATTAAATTAACCCGAGTGATTCCACAATTGTGGTATCATCCAAGCCATGCCAGAGGACTTGAACTAGATAAACTAGTGAGAATGCACAATAGCGATAGCAAAGCTTTGTAATGCTAAAGAGCTATATCAATATATATATGTGTTCCCGAATCCTTTGACAGCTTTAAAGAAAGAAAACTTCGTCGTCAATCCTGTTTCAAATTCCGCAATAAGTTTATGCGCCTCATCAACAGAATTTACGTATCCTAAATTATCTGCATGTCTACCATCAATGGTTCGCGACTTAAAATTCTCGCTATGCTGTTTCTGTTTGTTCCTCAAGAATCATGGGATTTACAGCTTTTGATGTTCGGCTACATCACTTGCGGATTTCCGAGAATCTTCGGTTATGTTTTGCAAGTCATTAAATATTCCATCTCAGTCCCTCTCGACCGAGGTGGTTTTGGTGGATGGAATCTAATGCTGACCTTTCGACACGGAGATGAAAATGGCGAAAATGGCGGAGCAAACAGCAGATTTCATAGCGCTTTTGGTGGCATTTGTGGCGAGACTCCGTTCTCAATATGGCGTCAACATGGTAAAAAGCGTAGCGACTTGGTCAAAAGTGAATATTTTGGCCGTTTCTAAAGATATGGACCCGAAAACTTGGAAATGACAAGAGAAACTTATGAGCATTGAAGTGTAATCGATTTCGAAACCCGACTTTGCCGTGTTTGAAGTATAGTAGCGAAGGAGCAGGTAAGTTGATGAAAAATATTATTGCGTAGTCAGGTTTTTCAAAACCGTAGCGACTGTTTTACACTGATATTTCTCCGTTTATAGTCAATCCTTTAGACTGATTTTTCGCTATTTTAGAACACCAAGTATGAGCATTTGGTTAATGTGTTTTTGTTCCCACAGGATTCCAGTTCAGTCATTCTGCGGACAACAACTTGGTATACTTCCAAATTCTGAAACCCAGCGTTACACAAAGGATACTTAAGAATGATGAATCTTTTCTATGCGTTTTAATAAACTTGAAATGTCAAAGTTTTGCTCAAATGTAGTGTTTATTGTGTGTTATCATTAGGTGTAATTTGTTTGCTCAAACGAACTTTCTTTTCAGTGAAAAATGTATTTAAAAAATTTTACCACTGAGATTGTGTTACGCGTTACAACCAAAATTGGCTCGATTTTTCATCTTTCACAGGTATTTTCTCAAAGACAGTAATGTGGTTTTCTGATTTTTTGCTTTTACTATAATCAATAAGAACAACTTTACCTGTAAACAAAGATTTGGCTTCAATGAAAATGTAAAACAGAAGAAATCATTGAAAGTTTGCAGTCAACCCCCTATGGGCATGGTGATTGTGCTACTCATCTAATCAGACATTTTTAATAATTTCAACAACCAACTCAAAGGCTTTTGTTTTCAAGTATTCAAAAGAATTAAACAGTAAATGCTAAATTGTGAAGAAACAGGCAGAGAATTTAAAAAAAAACAGTGATCCAGACTTTGTTTACAAGCTATAATCTGAACATTTAGAATGAAGAGTTCGTGATCCAAGCTAAAGTTAGAAACTAATACGCGTTACACTTAATTTCTTAAAACCACAAATTTTTTACACCTCATTCGCAATCTAAGTCCATTCTGTGTTCAAATCTGTCAATCCAATCTAAGAACCAAATGAATTGCTGATCGACTAACTTGTTCATCTCTGTCTAAATACTATGGAGCTGTAAGACTCATTCCATTCTGAGAGTGGTCAATGGATAGAATGAATGGACAGGCATCTCGGGCCCATTCTTCAGGACTCCTATACATTGCTGCACCTTGTTTTCCAAAGGTTGTCTCCAACATAGGTGTGTTGATGACTCCTGGGTTCAACGGAACACATGTCAGCGGTATAGGTAACTCAAGCGCCATTGCTTTAGAAAGCCCCTCAATGGCCCACTTGGAAGCACAATATGGAGCTTTATGCGCCGCCACACTTCTACCCCAGCCAGAACTAAAATTAACGACCACACCCTTTCCCGCTTTTATCATTTCGGGCACAAAATGGCGAATGACATTCGTGGTGCCCTTAATGTTGACATCGATGACACTGTTGAACTCTTCTCCAGAAATCTGCCACAAACACGCATTACTGTTGATTATAGATGCATTATTAAGGAGGAAAGTCGGCGCTCCAAAGCTAGAAATAACATCTTGTGACCAACGTTTCACGTCTGCCTCGTTGAGAATGTCAACAACAGAGAACTGTTTTGGTTTGCCTCCTTTACAAAACTCTTCGTTCAGCTGATTAATCTTTTGAGCTGACCGTGCACACCCTAACACCAAATGGCCTTTGGATATGTACCATTTCACCATGGCAAGGCCTAAGCCTGTGGATACCCCTGTTATAGCTAGCACTTCTCGATTACCAACGGCTGCCATGATGGATCAGAGAGAACTGTCAAGAAACTGGAATCTAGACCGTTCTGGTTGTCATGGCAACTTCTAATAAAGTAATCGAGGGAATGCTGATGTTGTAGGGTACCTAAGAGGTGGTTAGAAAGATGCAAGAGGAGATAAAAAAAGCTAAAGCCTTCCTTCTGAAAACAAGTTCAACATCATCTAAAAATGTGTAAGTATCTGCTAGCCCCTTAACTGTGATGGCGATCATGAAAACAAGCTTACAAACTCTCGGGCTTCTTTTTTTGTTCGCTAGCTGGTGATGCCTTCAAAAGTAGGGAAGAATAAAGTCTCGCACATAATCGACAAGACGAGAATTTCTCCTTTAATAGGTGGCACACAATCCCATACATTGTATTTGTGGTATAATTATATTGTATTTGTAGAATGACAAATGAACTCTCGCAAATAGGCTGGTTATAGACGTGAAATGTGCTTACTGAATTCATATCCCATTCCGGTAGTTAGATAACGGCGTAATATGTGACGAACACAGTCCATAGACTGTAAGATTTTACGCCACTATCTGCGTCGGTGTATATATATATATGTAAGATTTTAAGCTGTTAACTAACGGCGTAAAATCTTAAAGTATAATTTCCTCCAGTCGGTGATGTATATATGTAAGATTTTACGCCAGTAACTAACGGCATAATTTCTTCCAATCGTTGATATATATAATGTAAATTTTACGCCAGTAATATTATATATTAATTTATTATAATTAATCTACCGACTGAGTTAGTGGCGTAAAATCTTACGGTATATAGACTGTGTTAGTCACATATTACGCCATTATATATATTCCCATCCCATTCGAAAGAAATATTGTACTTATTTTTAGCCATTCGTTGATTTTTCTCTTTTGTATGAGTTCAGATATGACCATTTAAGTGATGTGTTAAGCAAAATTTTAGAGGAAAGGCCAAATCACTGTGTTGGTAAGTAATCATGGTATTTTTTTATTTTAAGCTTTTTTTCTTGTGCCTTATTTCACTTATCTCCTAGTGAAAATGCCTTGAATTGATCACTCTCCTCAGGAGACATCTACATTTCTTGAGATATGTTTTAGTGTATGTTTACAGAGTAAGATATAATTTACAGTGGAATATATATATATTTTTTTAGTATAACTAATGTGTGTCTATAGTACGTCACTGTCATGGTGCAAGGAAACATTTTGTTAACCCTCTGATTAGTCCTGGCATGGGGGTTATCAATTTACAGAGCCAACATTTACTTGGTTGCTAACTGGAGAAGGAGGCTTCTTAGAGAGGAGGGGCTCATTGAAAATTTACTGAATACCAAAATGTCAAAGATTATTTTTTTTGAGGAGGTTGGTTAGGCCAGGAAAAGGGGGAGGAGGGGTTTTCCTATCACACACCCTCACTAAGAAGAAAAAAGGGATACCTATTTTGTTTAAAATGTCAGTTTTTGGCAAAAGGTTGTGATAGTATTGAAATTGAGGAAAAGTTTTGAATTAAAATTCGGAACTGTTGAAAAAAATGAGTTTTTGTATTTAATTGTTTTAAAATTTTCAATGCTATAACAAATCAACTGTATTTCAATATTCTGTTGGGATTAAAGCCAGAGGAGGAATTTTTTTTTTCTCTCAATAGTCCTCTAACTAGGAGATGAGGCAGGGTAAGGGATTTGACAGGCATAGGTGCTAATGTGATCAGAAGTTATGTTATTAAGCTATTTTGTTCTTACTTGTTCGAGTGCTCCTTATTGCAATGATACCATTCTAGATGTATTTGAAGACATCAGTAAAAATGTAAAAAAAGGAAAGACTGAGGAGTCTGAGGTAGGATTTGCCTTATAATAGAACTTGCTATTTTCTTATGGGGAAACAAGGGTATCTTACCATCTTGGAAACTGTAGTATTTTCAATTGTTTCAATACAGCTTTTATTTGCTTTAAGAAGGTGATGTTATTTCAACTTTTTTATTTATATATTTTTAAGTCTAAATTGTTAAGAGATTTCTTGTAGCTAGAGTGTGGTGTGTTTCAGGGACAGGAGTGAATTGGTGTGTGGAAACCAATCTGGATATTTTTTCAGAAATTATAATCAATTGATCCAACTTTTATGATTTCTGTGGAACTACCATTTCTCTTTCTCTTTAAAGATTTCTGCATGTTTGGTAGTTGAAATTTAGAGCACTCAATATTTTGTTTCCTTTAACACTATTTCATTTTGCTTAAGTATTCCTTTCTTCTCCTGTTTTATTCCAGCATTTTAGCATAGTGATTGTAAATGCATGAATTGTTAATTTGCTATCTGCAGAGTCTAGTCAAATCAGTGGAGGTTTACAAATTTTCTGTCAGGGGCAAATTCTGAAGACTAGATACTATGCTATAGTCTTGTAGTTAAACGATTCAAATAAAATGAGACTGAATTTTTCCCAATTATTTTCAGGAACTAGAAGATGACAAGGAAAGCAAAGAGACTGCTGAAGTACACCAGAAACTGTTTGAGGTTAGCTTGTCAAATGATAATATGGATCACATTTCGAGTAACAATGATCTTGTAGCTGGTAATGTTAACTTAGTGAGACTGACTGATATCATTAAAGAGTGATTTGTTAAGGGGGATCTAGGACTTAGTGAAAGGGGGTTCAGATAAATGTCTACTCAAAGGTGGACAATCTTGAGAGGGTCAGGGGGCATACCCCTGCCAAGAATGTTGAAATAAAGGTTTTAGAAAAAGATGTTTCCAGTGTTCTAAGGGATAATTATGGAAAAAAAAATAGATTTACATATTTTTAGATGTTTTCACCCCTCTCTTTCCTTTTCAAATCATCTTTGAAATGCTTTTATGTTCAATAATGTCAAGTATCAAGAACTTATGCCAACTGATTTGGTATTTTTCATGCAAATGGCACGATCCCTCAAGGATGGTGGATTGTCTGTTTTTAACTAAGTTACAAGTCTGTTAACGGTGTATTTTGTTGCATTTGTATAAATAGAAAGATGGTGATGGAGAAGGTGGTGAACCTGAGACAGAAGAAGATATTGAAACCCCTCTCCCTGATCTCATGAATTTAAATTTTTACTTTGAACAAGCTGGAATAGGATTGAGCCATGAAGAAATGTTTAGAGTATTTCTCGCATTAAAGCAGCTGGTGGATACTAAACCATTACAAATGGTTCGTTTTTGGGGTAAGAAAGATAATTAAAAAATCACTGTAATTTGTTTTTGTTTGATTTAAGTTAAATGTTTTGACCCAAGAATAAGCACCTCCAAGTCCTTTTAGTATAATTTGTGTGGCCTGCATAGATTTTAACCCTAAGCAATCACCCAGCATAAAATTCAAGAACCAAAGTAAAAACATAATATAAAGATTTAGCCAAGCCTAAAAGCGGAGCACGTCTCAAGGGCACAACACCTTGCCCTCGCCAGGACTAGAACCCAGGTCGTCCAAGTCGGAGCCCAGTGCACTGACCACTGGACTACTGGACAAAGCCATGGTGTTTGCGTGCCCATGGTACAGTTGACCACGCATGTTAAAAGTAGCACCTTGTACAGTCATACGGTTGTACGGTTGTATGGTCGTACATCCAAATTTTTTCAGCTTGATGGGTTACTACTATTTTGTATAATTATGGGGCTATGCTCTGCAAGCTCTGCTATAAATTGCTTACATGTAGCTATTTGGCGACTGGTATGGGTAATGAAGAAAGCAAGACCTTTTGAACTGAATTGGTTAATTGTCAACTCAAGATTAAAAATTTGCTGATCAGAACCAGCTCATGATATTTTAAAGTAGCTCTGGAGTCTTTGAGAATTGTTTAAATTGATTGAATCATATGAAGAAAATGGTGGAAAGGGTCAAATTAAGCTTGCATGTGTTATTAAGAATATCATTATAATATTATTACATGTAAAATGTCCGAAGGTTTTGTTGAAAGCAAGAAAGTGGTCAAAACACAAGACGGGGTGGATAGAGGAGAGGAAACCTCCACACTTGGACCCTGTGAATCTGACCACTTCACATGATCTTTTCAGTTTGAATTTATGTTAATGCTGCAGTTGATTGGTTACCCAAAATCATTTTGAGATCAGTATATCTCCAGACTTCTCCATTTTCACCAGCTAATGAAAGGTTTTTGAGGCAACATGGCTTACAAGCCAGATTTCAAATTCTGATAAAAAGGCTAACATCACATTTCATTTGCATGCATAGTGGTTTACTAATTTGATAGAAATATTTAATATGATAGCTATATAATTATTTGGAAACAACATTAGTGTCTCCATGCCTCATTTGGATGCCCCTGAATGCCATGCATTAAGGAGGGCATAGTTACTAAAACAAGGAATGATCTTAAATGACCTTGAGTGATGTGAACAATCATGGACTGGATTACAGATCGGATCACAAACCAGATCATGGATTGGATCATGGATCATATTAGATCATGTTAAATAATATTATTGAGCTCAAGCCCCACTGGAAGGTTTTTTTTGCCAAAAACCTTAGGGGTCAGAACACAATTCGAAAAAAAATAGGGTTTTGAAAAATACAACAATCAAATCATTACAAAATAATAGAGAGTTCAAAAGAAGGGGGGTGTGAAAAAATTAAAATATTCTCAATGAAAATTAGAGATATCTCGTAACAAGCCCAAATAGAAGGCAGGCCCATTTGAAAGTTTTTTTGCCCCAGAACTCCATGTAGTCACTTTCAAAACTGTGTCAAGGAGTTGTGTTGTGCCGCCATGGATGAAGGCAAGTGAGAGGTACAAATCATTCTTCAATAAGGAGGGGGGCATTGGGATTTTTTTGGCTATTTGATATTGGTTTTTCAGTTTTTGCGCTAAAAGACTTTGGTTTTGTGGTTTTGCTGTTCCTTTTGCTTTGTGGATTTTATGTGGTTTAGCATTAGTTTTCAGTTTTCATCAAAAACACAAACAGGTTTTCAAAAGTTTTTCTGGTTTGTCTTTAATCTGAGTGGCAATTAAGTGCCTCCACTGATCTCAAACAGCCGCGAAATACATATAATTCATGTGAACACATAAAGATCATATTATCTGAAATCACAATTCACAAATTTTAAAAAAAAATCATGATTCACATTCAAAGCATATGAGACCCTCATTAAGTGTAGGTTGGGAGGTAGTGAAAGAAATTTGAAAATGTTATGTACTTGTACACTTTATATGCAGCTGTTTGTGTGAATGGGAAAGAGAAGGCAAGGTCAAATTCTCAACTGTGACGTCCAATGAATAACATGCATTTCAATTCCACAGGTAAAGTGCTTGGTATTGAGTCAAATTATTATGTGGCAGAGGTAGAATACAGGGAAGGAGAAGAAGAGGAGGATGAAGAAGAAGAAGAAGTGAGGAATTAAAAATCAGCCATTACAGTTTATTTTATCTCCCAGTTTCTTATAATGTGTGGGGTGATTGATTGGTAAATTTTGGTAGTCATTAACTCTACTTCACAGCCAGCCAAAAATTCAACATTGTTTTTGTCACAGTATGTCTCACTAGGTATCACCAATTGTTGTAACTTTGGTTAGTGGATGAATTTTTAGATCCTCTCTTTCCTTTTAAAATCATTTGAAACTTGCTTAATTTGACTTCACAACAATTTGCAATAAATTTAATATATTAAAGTTCAGATGGCAAACAGGTGAACAATCAGAAGTAAGCCACCATCATCATGATTTAAAGGAGCATGGGCAGAGTTGATATGCCAGGCTTCCAAACAAAGGCACTGGTTGTAAGGCAGATTAGTGGTGATAATTTTAGACTTATCCCACCCAGTTGTATGGTATATAGTTAGGCATGTGTGCTCCAATAAAGATAGCCTCAATGTTAAAGTTGTTCAAAAATCTTTTGACTTTGGGGCATATTTTTGCCAAACCTAAGGATCCTATTACAAAAGAACAATGAACTGATGCTATTCATTGTATTCCTTGCAATGAATGTGATAATAAGTATATCACACAGACCAAATGTCAGTTTGGTACATGTTTGAAAGAACATCAAAAATCGGTCTTCTTTTGTGAAAAAGATAATTCAGCTTTATCGGAGCACACATGCCTAACCAACCATACAATTTGGTAGGATAGGTCTAAAATTATCACTATTAATCGGCATTACTACAAGTGCCTTTGTTTGGAAGCTTGGTATATCAACTCCACCCACACTCCTTTGAATTGTGAGGATGGCAGCTTACTTCCTTACATCTCGTCAGAAAAAAGGGTATAGCTAATTAGTAAGTGTATAAAAGGACCACCTGTTGCAGCGTTGAGGTCACCCCTGATGAAGGCACTAGACAAGAGGGTCAAAACATTGGGTCTATGAATTGTAACTTCTTGGTTACATTCATCAAATCTTTAAACCTGAGTAGCATCAAACCATGTCTGCTTGCAATAAATTTTTTCTACTTTTGGGAAGTAGATTTGTAATCTTAATTGAAGCTGTTCATTGTGACTAGAAATTGCTTAAATTTCAAAGGAGAAATGTAATCGTTTGTGGTCATTGTTTGGGTGTGGATCATGACATTTCCACAGCATACTGCTAGTCTTCTTCCAAGCCTGTCAAAGACAATGTAGAAAATTAATGAAAAAATATCTTACCAGCCTTGTTTTCTCATTAACATGACAAGCTTTGCTCAAGAAAAGAATTCTCACCAGGGATGCGTAAAATGATCCATAGGCTTGTCAAAGTAAAGCGAGAGGGCTCAATTAGCAAGTGAGAGCGATGTGTTTGTGTCTGCTTTAAGGTTTTGGGTTACTCTGATGCAACACCTCGGCGTTCTGTGGGCGCGAAACTTAATTAATAATTGGTCTCAACCTTTTGGTGATTTGTATGGATCCTGCTTTTTTCCTCTCTGATGCATGGCCAAACTTAATGGTTAACCATTTCACTCACAATATCTCTTTAGTAAATCTCCTTACTGTCTGTCTCCTTATTTTCTGCCATACAATTTTTATGATGCAAGTTCCAAGAATTTGGTAATGGATCAACAACAAATTCCATAATTGATAATTTTCTTTCCTCTCAGTATTTGTCTGCGTCACATGGTATCAATATTGTAAGGAGAAATTCTGTTCAGGTCAGCTATGGGAGTTAAATGTTTATGAGTCATTTATTCCAGTAAAGATGGATATATTTTTTTCTTTGTAGCAGGGTGAGGGTGAAGGAGATGAACAGGCAAAGGAGGAGGATAAAGGTGAAGAAGGTATGTGTGGGTGCAAGACTCAAAGCTTTTAATACCTTCCAAAATGCTATTAAAAACCACATTGTGCATCAGCAGTATGTTTTTAGAATACTGCAGTACCACAATTTCAGATAAGAGTGACCAAAATACCCTGAAAAAACTTGAACAATACTGTGAACCCTAAAGTCCCTCTCTATATTCATTAAACAGTCGATCAGTATGAAAAGTTGACATGAAAAAGGTAACTATGTGAATAGGTAGGTGAGAGAAAGTTAAGGGTAATTTTTTCCACATTTTTACTCTTTAAAAAACCAGACCAGTAGGTTTTCTTAGATTGATTTTTGGCCTGGCTCTTGCAATCTCTGTTGTAATGATTGAGTGTTATAAATGCAGTTCATTTTAATACAGATCCAATTAGTTTTTAACTGTATTTTTTAATTATATGCCATAGATGATGAAGGTGGTGAAGAAGATGATACACCCAAACCAGAGTGGAAACCGCCCCCAGTTATACCTAAAGAGGAAAACAGAACTGGCACTAACAAGAGAACTTTCTTTGTTACAACTGATCGTACGTATTCTATTGCTTACTTCTTCAATGTTTGACAAACTTGTGTCACTTTAACAGCTGTCATCACCATCTAATTTAGCTCATGTATGGTCAACTTCTGAGTCAGAAGATCCATTCTGGTAGAGCTCAATATTCCACTTTTAGTATTGCATAGTGACAAGGACATTTGCTTCTCCACACTGGATGGAATGCCAGTCCATGACAGGGTTACCTTTAAAATTTTATCAGTCTTCTTTACAGTCTGCTTTTTCACTCCTTGGTAAGAATAGGGTAGTTAGGCTAGAGGTTACGTATGTGTTGTAAACACAATGACCTGGTCAAAGTTACAACTAATAAACTTTTTATTCAGAGTCCAGCACACTTTGCCTGGTCATCAGTCCACCACATATATGTGTAGGTTGTCAGCTGTTGATACCAACAACAGGATACCCAATGGTGATAAAGTTCAAATTGTATTCCTGTTTCTGATAAATTCTGTAAATTTTGTGATATTGTGTTGTTCTGTTAGTGATTTTTATATGACAACATTGTCCTATAGCTATGTGCATGGAACATATTCACTGTCTCATAGATCCAATTTGTTTAATTTCTCAGCTGGTAAACCTTGGATAAAACTTCCAGCTGTGACCCCTGCACAAATAGTAGCTGCAAGATGTATTAAAAAATTCTTTACAGGAAGACTGGATGCTCCGGTAACATCACAACAATCTTTATTATCATATTTACTGAAAAAAACAAATAGTTGTAAAAAGTGATCCTATTTATTGTTTTCGGTTGAACCTCTTTTACTGTGTTTGGATGTGAGCCAAGAAAATTCAAGGAGGCCTAAATCAAGTCAAGAGTGTTGGTAAACTTGTCCAAACTGTTCAGCTAAAAATCATACCTACAATGAAAACTTAATAGGGTAAAAGAAAAGCCAAATAGGAGACATAAGTAGATTGTTTTCAACTGGAAAGTTAAGCTGGAAGTCTCACCTTTGATTTACTCTGGTCCGTTTTTTGGACACATGAACTAACATGTCAATCTTGAAAAGTTTCCTTTTTTTTTTAGTTGTTCAGGGCTTGGAAAAGGTTAAAAATTTAAATTTAAAGGCTGTACATCCTGGCTTTCCTCCAGCCATATACCTCTGTTGTTCCATAAACTGCATATCTTTTTCTACAAACTATCACGGTAATTCACGGGAGAATCTGATAAAGAACCAAAAATTTATTCTTTAGTTATCATTTCGATCTTATTTCTTTTTTTACCTTTTCAGATTGTGAGTTATCCACCTTTCCCAGGAAATGAAATGAATTATCTGAGAGCACAGATTGCTCGCATTTCAGCTGGAACACAAGTTAGCCCTGCAGGGTACTACATGTTTGAAGAAGAGGAGGAGGAGGAAGATGAAGGAGAAGGTATCAGTCTTCAACCCGCAAGCCATTACTGGGCTATGTAATATCCTACTTACATTGCGCATTGCACGAAGTATATTATATAAGTATATATGCAATCAAAGCACGGTGATCCCAAACAGAACTGTTTTAAAAATATATACTTAGTGAGGTTGAGAGTAAATTTTATTGACTTGGGTGATAAATTAATTGATATTGGCCTTTGCATCAAACTTTCTATTAAGTTCTTTTTTGTGCATAACTGAATCTTAATGACAAGGTAATTATGTTTTTATCAACTGAGTTGATAATGTAAATTGGCCACCGTAAAGAGTTTCAAAGCTGACGTTGTTGGCGCCATTCACTCTGACGAAGGGCTAACGCGCTAATTTACATTATCAACTCAATTGATAAAACCATAATGACCTTTTTATAATCCCCTACCGACGCAGCTCCACAGTTTCTTTAGAGACTTGCCCTCTGAATCTGAATGATTTTGCATGTGAACCCAGAACTCCTGTTTCTACCGATAAGCTTGCAGTTTAAGTAATGATATCAACTGAAAATAACCATACTTAGTTCTGTACTAGCGTCAAAATTGACAGAAAACCCGTTTTCCTCTCATCCTTTCCACAGTGCGTGACTCTTACATGTTGAATGTTGACTTTGAGGGTATAAGTGTGAGAGAACTTGCAGATCCATCACTTCATAACTGGGTGCATCATGTACAGCATATATTACCACAGGTGCGTGGGGTAACTGACTGACTTGAATTCTTTTTTCACATCAATATGGCATTTGAAAGGTGCACAAAATTATGTAACACTTCTTTGTCACATAATGAGAAGATTGCACCGTCGATAAATTTTTTTAAAGAAACTGACGCTCCGAAGTAATTTTGCTGAGTCTTTTTATAAAAAAATAAACAGTGAACCATACACTCATGGCGTACAGAAGTTACATCGTAAAATAGTCGAATAATTCGACTTAATTCAGCGTAATTTTCTCCGTGTTTTGGTATCGTAATGACTTTACTGTTGAAACTACCTACGGATCTTAAGAACTAACAGGCCTTTAATGACTGAAGAAATCCTTCTCGTTTTTTCTTCGTTAGGGTCGCTGTGTTTGGCACAATCCTGTTGAAAAACCTGAAGATGATTTTGAAGAGGAAGAAGAGGAAGATGAAAAGGAAGACATAGAGGAACCAAAACCAGAATCAGGGCCGCAGTTATTGACCTCCATTGCAGAGGATGATGGTATGTAATGATTTATGTTATTGTTATTAAGTGACAATATTATTTCTACCCCTTGAAAATCAAATTTATTTCTTTGTTTCGTCGTTAATATTCACCCCAAAGCAAACCCGCTTGTAATCGACCCCTTGATATCCCCCTGTAACCTATTGCGTGCAAAACGGACTTCAACCATCTGTCCTTAACGTATATTGAACAAGTTCCTTATGAATGATTTGGAAATGCCACTGACAATTGTGAACTTATTTGAGGTTACGTAATTGTTCACCATATGAGGTCTTTTAGAACAGCTTTATAATGGATACCTGGTGCAGGAACCAGTTGTTCAAAGGGCGGATAACGCTATCCAACAGATAACGCTATCCAACAGATAACGCTATCCAACAGATAACGCTATCCAACAGAGAAATCGCCATAGAGAGGATAAGTACTGTACTACCCATCGGATAGAGATTTATCCATCACATGGCGTCCCGAATTCTGGACTTTTTGGGTGGTAGATTCTAAATTAGGTATTTTTAAAAAATACTCTTCCCTCCCCTTCCCAAGCCGTGCGATTTTGTATTTTCTCTCTCTCGCTGACCTCGCTATCACGGAACACAAGAGATACCATGCTGAGCCGATCAATACCTGGGACCGAACAACACCCAGGGAAAGCTTATCGGACCCAGGGAATGACATGGTATGGCTCAGTAGGCACGTTGCAAGGCCTATTGCGTATGTCTTTAATTTTTCTACCGGTCACAGCTGTTAATGGGATGCCGGCGTGGACTCCTAACATGTCGTCAGAGTTACTACCTCAGTATGGCCTCGCTATCATGCGCTCCAACAGGTGGCCTGGTGCAGTGGCTTTTGCCAAAGACAGGTACGGAACACGCGAAAGTAAAAATGACATGCAGTTGGTCTGTAAACTCTCCCTTCCTAATAATTATCTATGGTTTGACCTTCTCCTATACAGCTTCTTGGTATTATAAACCGAACTCAGAATTCAACAAAATCTTTCGCACCTCTCAAGTCAAATGCAGACGACTCTCTGTAGTTCTACTGAACTACTATTTATTAACACTTGAACATAAGCTTATAAAGTTTGTAACCTCTTGCACCTTAGTAAATGTTAAATAAGGAAATTCTCTCGCTTACATTTTTCTGTGTCCATTTACTTGCGGAAAAAAAAAGCTCAAATAAACAGGCATTCTCTGATATCCAGCATGTCCACAAACGCGTGTTCTAAGACCCAAGGCAATGGAGAGGAAAAGAGCTTACTTTCTTTTTCTCTTTTTTTTTGTGTCTTTTCCAAAGGAAATTCGAAAATTTATATGTTGGATGGGGACACAAATTTGATGCGGACAACTACACCCCGCCCCCACCCCCTGCTGCCATGGAGGAGTACCCTGTGGTACCGGAAGTAACAGAGGTGGATGACCCAACAGTAGAGGAGGAGAGAGCACTGAAAAAGGCGCAGGAGGAGGCCATGGAGGCTGCAGAGGATATGGATGATGTAGATGATGACGAGGATGACGACGATTAAGAAACTTTACTCAAATATCACGATTACTATTTATCTTTTAGACAAGACTTGGTTTTAACCAAGAATTGCCAACCTACCAGATTTTTGAAAATACAATTGACGATTTATGATGTATATAGTTTAATCTCTCCTTGAAGAATAAACGGTTGTTTCCTGTTTTTACTTGTAGCCCTTTTTTGTGAATTTTAGCTCCATTCGGAAAAATTAGCTGACGTGTAGAATATGGTGCATATGCTTTAGACTGTTATATAAGATTAGGTTATGGTTTTTTCAAATCGATAATTATGTACCTCATGCGAACGGTGAAACTAAAAACGCATCAAGAAAATTACGATCTTGAAACTCTGGGCGAAACGATTCGTGTATTAGAAACGAGATTATGTTGGAGTGCTGGTGATATTAACAGGCTTGCTCAGCCTGTTTCCACCATACTTGTCTAGGTCAATGATCCTCCATGTAAGGACCTTGCAGCGGGAATACTTTATCTTGTCACTTACTCATCTATTATCAGGTTTGTCGCTAACTAAACGATGTTAAATAGCTTTGGTGATCGATTTGTGGGGAACAAATTGAAGGTTAGGAATGGCCGCCAATGCTCTCTTTAAGATCCTTACACTTCAGTCAAGATTCTTTCATAATTTTTTCAATATCATTCCAGTGCTTAAACGAGAAATTTTAATGCATTGCGAAACAAACGAGAACTTTATTTCACAGGGAGGAATAAACCAAACGCTTTTTGCCGCCAATGCTCTCTTGAAGATCCTTACACTTTAGTCAAGATTCTTTCATCTTTTTTTTCAAAATCATTCCAGTGCTCAAGCGAGAAATTTTAATGCATTGTGAAACAAACGAGAACTTTGTTTCACAGCGAGGAATAAACCAAACGTTTTTTGTTGTTGTTGTTGTTTCTTTAACGCAGGGTGAGATACAAAATTAGATAGCTCCATTTCTCGCGTTCTTAAAGATCGTGTTGGGAAAGACTTTCTCTGTTCGATGCAATTGGTCTGACTATGTAAAATCTGCACTTAGGTTGGCCTAAGGTGAAACATACATACCACGCTGTCAATTAACAATTGGTTCATACGTCAGCGTGCGCTCATCGAGATATGAAGCACGCGGGAAGTTTGGAGAGCACGAAAGATGCGTAAGAGTTGCTCGAGGCGTAGTCGAGAGCAACTCTAGCTTCTTGAGTGCTCTCCAAACTTCCCAAGTGCTTCATATCTCGATGAACGCACAGCTGACGTATGAACCAATTGTTTCATAACATTTTCAACCCGATGGAAAATTTTTTTTCTCGAGGGATTTGTTTGCTTACGTCATGAGTGTGCACAATAGGAATATGAAGCACGCTCGCGCAATTGAATTTGATAAGACAAATTTACTAGCTATGTTATAACAGTAGTAATCAAGTAGGATCATCGTCAAGTTCGTAGGGCTCGTTTGTTAGGCACTAAAATTACTTTTATTAAAGTGTTCTTTCCCGTAGTTTCCACTCAGGGAAAACAGACGATTTAGAGAGTCAGTCAGTTTCTGGACCCATGTCACCCTGCACTAGTTTTACTGTTCAAGCGTAACGTGAGCGCTAAAAAAACGATAGTCTCTATTTTGCAAAGCCTCTTACACATGTAAGAACTCCCCCCCCCCTCCCCGCTTACGCCAAGAAATGAGTTTTGATCAGTTTTTATTGAACAGTTTTCTGCGTCATAAATAGATACCATAAGTGGGTAATTTGTAAAGCTCTTGCACCAACTAACCTTTTTTCCCTTCTTTTTTTAAAGATTTTTCAACTAAGAAACTATCCAGAAATCCCTGGGGTATATAATAATTGTCAAAACAACTTTCGTAATCGCAGTAGAAGGTCTTGATAACAACAACCAGTCAAAGCGATCATAGTAAAAATCAGAGAAAATATCTGTAAGATAAGAAGTAGCGAAAACGGTGGATACAGCAGCATTTGCTTAGTCTTTCCACCGCAGTGGTCAGCTTAAGCTGCCTTCAGACGCTCTTCCTGTGCATTCAGCTCATCACGTACTGCTTGAGGCAAATCAGCTCCCAACTGATCCTCGTAGTACTTGCGTAGATACTGACATTCTTCCAGCCAATAGTCTTTGGAGATGTCAAACAGCTTCTCCATGACTAGCTTTGCTGTAAGGTCGTCAACGTTAATGGGTCCAGTTTAGGTATATACCCAACTGGAGTCACATCTGCCACATCTTCATCTTCACAGCGTCTCAGCACCCATTCCAGAACACGGCAGTTCTCTCCAAACCCTGAAACACCAGGCACCGTTTGTTAGATCAACTTCGCATAGATAACTTTTCAAAGGGTTTTCAAAGCATGGGCTAATTAATGTCTGCAACAGACATTGGATTATCATTTTGGGTTCAAAGTCTGCCTAATTTCCAAGCCCCCCGCCTATGTAGTAATCTCAAACTTTTGCAAACACAGAGAGGTGTCTTCTTTTGTAGATTATTTAATAAATTTATCATAAAACAATTACTGAATTCGGTTTTCACATAATATCATGTATTATCAAACACAGTGCCTGTGTTATCAGCCTCAGTTAGCCTTTGGCTTCAGCAGATAACTCATACCTTGGCATTGATAATTCATAATATCATGCTCAACCTAATCCAATAATTTCTTAATAGCTAGCAATGTCTGGCTTCCTTATTTGCACCTAAGGGTAGCCTCTTAGGGGAACTCCAAAAGTTTTTGCAGGGTTCCCTTTACCCTGATATCCACACCATTTTACATTAGAATCACACAGTACTCCAACAACAACCTAGTATTCTTTCTTAAATGTGTTGTAAAGAGAAAGAAAAAAAGCATTTTTTTCACCAATAGCTGAGCGATACAAAAACAAGTTTTTCCCATAAGCAACTTCCAGAAACATAACTTCCTCAAAAGACAATTTTCCTTACAATTTTCTGCACCATCTTCTGATGATCACTTTAGAATAAGATGTTCTTAGTTCAGTAAGATATTTGATTCCTTTTTTCTGATATTCCAAAAGTAGTCCAATGATTGGTTGTATCTGAAAAGATTTCTAACTCATCATCTTTCTAACTTTTCAAGAACAGAGATGTCTTTCAGTTGTATGAACTGGGTAAAATCAAGACAAGCTCACCTGGCCATAAGCAATGACCATTTTCATCCACACGGAACCAGTTAACATGGAAAATCTTCAGCATTTTGTGGTTTGGTTTCTCCATCTCCAACCAGTGCTCCGTGTTTTTGCCAAAATTGTATCCAAAGAAAGGTCTCATGGCAAAAGGGTCTCTCATGACAGTTTTACCCTTGTGCTCAGTGGCAGCAGTGGCCTCAGATGACATGGATGAGGCAACAAACACCCCATGCTGCCAATTAAATGACTGATAGACCAAGGGAACTCCCTGTGGGTGTCGACCACCAAATAGAATGGCACTTATGGGAACACCCTTAGGGTCCTCCCAGGCTTTGTCCATGATTGGACAATGATCACTTGGTGCACAGAATCTGGAGTTAAGATGTGCTGCCTTGTTATTACCAGGCTTCCAGTTTTTCACTCCAAGCCAGGAAGTTATTTCTACATGATCTGGCAGTGGCAAACCTTCAAATAAATCCAAGACAATAGGCTAAGAATGGAGCCATTCAAATTAAATTAACCAAACCTGAAGTTGAACTTGGAGATAAGTCATAGTTTGTGGCAAATCTAATCATGTTAATCTTTGCCATATCTAACTATCCTCTTCGCCTCTTAATTGATTCCTGCATTTCTCACAAATACATGAAAATGAAATAAATCATATTTTGACAAGTGGATGAAAATAAACAATAAAATGATCCTTTCAGGTGAACTGCAATTGAGGAAATTGCAGAAAAGGAAACATGGAAAAATTCAGGCTGAGCAAGTCTATGGTTTATTTTATTTATTTGTGATCAGATTTTGTAACAAAATGAAACCCATTAAATTTTGGATCTGAATCAGGAGTATACCCCCCACAAGGTAATTATGCAAGGAAAGTCCTTCACTTTTCCATACTGCAGACAGGCTACTGAGTCGTGTGTGGTCTTCAAGGTAACCTATAGCAGGTTACACCATTATTTAACTATCTTTAGTAAAATGTTTGTCTGAAGTCTTACAAGGAGGTTGCCCTCAAACATGATAAAAGTAGGCTGTCCTCACTTGGACTGGGAAGGAAAATAAAATGCTGTTGATCTAGTACTACTATTCCAAATTTGGTTTCCAAAGACATTTGTCTTCCTATTTCCCTGACTCTCTTCAGACTTTTTCCCTTACCTTCAATCAGATTAAACTTAATGCAACACTTTATAAAGTACCTTCCCAAAAAAAGTCGCCATCACTAGTTTCTGCCACATTGGTGAAAATCGTGTCCTTTTGAAAAGTCTTCATTGCAACTGGATTCATCAAATAAGATGATCCTGGTGCAACTCCAAAGAAGCCACTTTCTGGATTAATAGCTCTCAGTTGTCCTTCTTCATCAAACCACATCCAAGCAATGTCATCACCCACACATTCAACCTTCCATCCTGGAATTGTTGGTGTTATCATGGCTAGGTTAGTTTTACCACAGGCACTTGGGAAGGCTGCAGTGATGTACTTCTTCTCTCCCTTGGGATTTGTAAGGCCCATGATCTTAAGATGAAAGAAAAACACATTACCTGTATAATTTACAACAGCAGCTTACTTAAACAATTTTTGATTTTCTCTTCTTTGGAAGTTTTTAAATCGTGGTTATTTACTATGCTATGCTAGAAAGGTTGACAAGTTGATATTTTGTAGAAAGAAATGGTAATTTACGATGTAAGTTAAAAAGGCAAATTTTTATCTAAGAAAAAACTTTCTTATCATAATTCTGACCAATTCTGAATCAGGAGACTTTATGATTGGATAGAAAAATATTATGTGCTCTTCATGCATTTCCAACTCTACCAATCACAAATTAAATTGACAAGATGTACCAACATGTGCTCTGCCAACCATCCTTCATCACGACCAATTGTGCTAGCAATCCCCTAGAGAAAAACACTTCTTTCCCAACAGAGAGTTCCCTCCATAACCACTTCCAAATGATTTGATTTCACGATCATGAGGAAAATGTGCAATGACAGTCCTATCTGGATTGCATGGCCATTTGCAGTCAGGAGCTTGCTC